GCACGTGCCACCATGTCCAGCTAATTTTTTGTATTTTTAGTAGAGACGGGGTTTCACCATGTTGACCAGGATGGTCTCGATCTCCTGACCTCGTGATCCACCTGCCTTGGCCTCCCAAAGTGCTGGGATTACAGGTGTGAGCCACCGCACCCGGCCCAGTCTTAACAAATTTAAGAAGATTGAAATCATATCAAATATCTTTTTTAACCAAAATTATATAAAGCTATAAATCAGTAACAGGAGGAAATCTCACAAGTATGTGGAAATTAACATGCTCTTGAGCAACCAATGGGTCAAAAGAGAAATCAAATGGGAAATCAATATATGTTTAGAGACAGAGAAAAATGAAAATATACCAAAACTTACGTGATGCGGCAAAAGCAGTACTAAGAGGGAAGTTTGTAGTAATATATGTCTACATTAAGAAAAAAATGAAGATGCCAAATAACTAGGCATATAAGAGCAGATTAAGCCCAAAACAAGCAGAAGTATGGAAATAACGAAGTTCAAAGCAGAAATAAATAAAATAGAGATCAGAAAAACAATAGAAAAATTGCAACAAAAATAAGAGTTGAATTTTTGAAAAGATAAAAATAATTTTGACAAGCCCTAAGTTAGAATAACCAGGAAAAAAAGAGAAAAGACTCAAATAAATAGAATCAGAAATGAAAGAGAAGACATTACAACCGATACCACAGAAATACAAAGGCTCATAAGAGAGTGGTATGACCAATTAATTAGAAGCCAACAAATTGGATGACCTAGAAGAAATGCAGAAATCTGTAGAAACGTAAAACCTACTGAGATTGAATCATGAAGAAATACAAAGTGTGAACAGATAATAATGAGTTAGGAGATTCAATCAGGAATCAAAAATTTCTCCAAATAGAAAATCCCAAGATCCCAAGATGAAATAGCTTCACTGGTAAATTCTACCAAACATTTAAAGAACTAACACCAATCTTTTTTATCTCTCTCTCTTTCCTTCCTTCCTTTCTTCCTTCCTTCCTCCCTCCCTCCCTCTCTCTCTTCTTTCTTTCTTCTTTCTTTCTTTCTTCTTTCTGTCTTTTCTGTCTTTCTTCTTCTCTCTTTCTCTCTCTTTTTCTTTTTTGGCAGAGTCTCACTCTGTTGCCCAGGCTGGAGTGCAGTGGTATGATCTCGGCTCACTGCAATCTCCACCTCCCGGGTTCAAGCAATTCTCCTGCCTCGGCCTCCCAAGTAGCTGGGATTACAGGTGCCTGCAACCTCACCTGGCTAATTTTTGTATTTTTAGTAGAGATGGGGTTTCACCATGTTGGCCAAGCTGGTCTTGAACTCCTGACCACAGGTGATCCTCCCACCTCAGCCTCCTAAAGTGCTGGGATTACAGGTGTGAGCCATTGGTCCTGGTCACACCAATCCTTAAGTTATTCCCAAAAAATGAAAAGGAGGGAATACTTCCAGACTCACATAATGAGACTAGTATTAATCTCAGGCTAAGGTCAGACAATGATGCTACAAGGAAAGGAAACTACTGACCAGTATCTCTGAGGGACATAGATGCAAAACTCCTCAACAAAATACTAGAAAACTGAATTTGACAGCACATTTAAAGGATCATACATTGCCATCAAGTGATATTGATTCCCAGGAAGCAAGAATGTTTCAACATACGCAAGTCAATCAATGTGAAATGCCACATTAACAGAATGAAAGATTGAAAAATCATTTGATCATTTCAATAGATGCAGGAAAAGCATCTGATAAAACTCAACATGAGTTCATGATGAAAACTCTCAACAAATTAGGTATAATATGAATGTACCTGAACATCATAAATGTTAATATATGACAAGCCAGCAGCAAACCCCATGGTGAAAAGCTGAAAACATTTTCTTTAAGATCGCAAGTAAGACAAGGATGCCCACTTTCACATCTATTCAACATAGTACCGGAAGTCCTAGCCAGAATAATTAGGCAAGAAAAAGAAATAAAAGGTGGCTGGGTGTGGTGGCTCACGCCTGTAATCCCATCACTTTGGGAAGCTGAGGTGGGTGGATCACGAGGTCAAGAGATCGAGGCCATCCTGGTCAACATGGTGAAACCTCGTCTCCACTAAAAATACAAAAATTAGCTGGGCATGGTGGTGCACGCCTGTAGTCCCAGTTACTTGGGAGGCTGAGGCAGGAGAATTGCTTGGAACTAGAACGTGGAGGTTGTAGAGAGCTGAGGTCATGCCACTGCACTCCAGCCTGGCGACAGGGCAAGACTCTGTCTCAAAAAAAAAAAAAAAATAGGGCCTGGCGCGGTGGCTCAAGCCTGCAATCCCAGCACTTTGGGAGGCTGAGGCAGGTGGATCACGAGGTCAAGAGATCGAGACCATCCTGGTCAACGTGGTGAAACCCCGTCTCTACTAAAAATACAAAAAATTAGCTGGGCATGGTGGCGTGTGCCTGTAATCCCAGCTGCTCAGGAGGCTGAGGCAGGAGAATTCCCTGAACCCAGGAGGCGGAGGTTGCGGTGAGCCGAGATCGCGCCATTGCACTCCAGCCTGGGTAATGAGCGAAACTCCGTCACAAAAAAAAAAAAAGAAAGAAAGAAAGAAAGAAAGAAAGAGAGAAAGAGAGAAAAAGAAATAGAAGGCATCCAAATCAGGAAGGAAGATGGAAAATTGTCTCTCTTTGCTAATAACATGTTCTGGTATATAGAAAATCCTAAAGACGTCCCCCCCCCAAATACTGTTAGAACTAATATAAACAAATTTTATAAAGTTGTAGGATACAAAATCAACATACGAGAATCAGTTACATTTTTATATGCCAACAGTGAAAAATTCAAAAAAGATATCAAGAAAGCAATCCCATTTACAGTAGCATCAAAAAAGAAAATAAAATATTAGGACTAAATTTAGCAAATCTTTCAGTGAAAGTTCTGTACACGGCAAAGTATAAAATATTGATGAAATAAATAGAAGACACAATTAAATGCAAAAGTGTCTCATGTTCATGGTTTGGAAGAATTCATATTATTAAAATGTCCATACTACCCAAGGAGTTCTACAGAATCAATGCAATTCTTGTCAATTCCATTCGCATTTTTCACGGGAATAGAATGAAAACAATCCTAAAATTAATATGCAACCACAAAAACCCCAAATAGTCAAACCAATCTTGAATAAGGAGAAAGCTGGCAGCATTATGCTTTCTGATTTCAAACTATTTCACAAAGCTATAATAATCAAAACAACATAGTACTGGTGTAAAATCAGACACATAGACCAATGGAACCGAACAGAAAACCCAGAAATAAGCCCATGCATGTACAATCAACTAATCTTTGACAAGAATACAAAATGGGGAAAGGATAGAGTCTTCAATAAATGGTGTTGGGAAAACTGGATATTCGCATGCAGAAGATTAAAAGTGGATCCTTATCTCACACCACATACAAAAATCATTCAAAATGGATTAAAGATGTCAACATAATACCTGAAGTGTCAAACCTCCTAGAAGAAAACATAAGGGAAAGGCTCCTTGATATTGGTTTTGGCAACGATTTTTTTGTATGAAATCACAGGAAACAATAGCAAAAGTTGATGAGCAGGATTATATCATATAAAAAGCTTCTGCAGAGCAAAGAAAACAATTGACAAAGGCAACCTACAGAATAGGAGAAAATGTTTGCAAACCATATGTCTGATAAGGGAGTTGGCCGGGCGTGGTGGCTCACGCCTGTAATCCCAGCACTTTGGGAGACCGAGGCAGGCGGATCACAAGGTCAGGAGTTTGAGACCAGCCTGGCCACCATGGTGAAACGCTGACTCTACTAAAAATACAAAAATTAGCCAGGCATGGTGGCGGGCACCTGTAGTCCCGGCTACTTGGGAGGCTGGGGCAGGAGAATTGCTTGAACCTGGGAGACGGAGGTTGCAGTGAGCTGATACAGCACCATTGCAGTCCAGCCTGGGCAACAGAGCGAGACTCCATCTAAAAAAAAAAAGAAGAGTAAATCCCAAAATATGTAAGGAACTCCTGCAACTCAATAGCCAAAAAAGAAATAACCGAAGTAAAAAATGGGAAAAGAACCAGAACGAACATTTCTCAAAAGAAGATATAAAAATGGCTGACAGAAATATGAAAAAGTGCTCAACATTTACTAATCAGGAAAATGCAAATCAAAACCACAATGGGATGCCACTTCATACCTGTTAGGATGGCTGTTAGTGAAAAAGCAAAAGGTAGCAGGTGGTGGTGAGGATGCAGAAGAACAGGGAACCCTGGTACACTGGTGGTGGTAATGTAAATTGGTGAGACCATTATGAAAACCCGCATGGAAGTTCTTCAAAAAATTGAAAATAGAACCAGGATCCAGCAATCCCACTGAATATTTATCCAAAGGAATTGAAATCAGAATCACGAAGAGATACCTGCACTCTCGTGTTCATTGCAGCACTATTCACAACAGCCAAGATAAGAAAACAGCCTACATGTCCACTGCCAGATGAATGGATGAAGAAAATGTGGTATATACTCACAATGAAATATTATTCAGCCTTTAAAATGAAGGGAATCATGCCATTTGCAACAACATGGGTGGACATGGAGGACATTATGCTAAGTGAAATAAGCCAGGCACAGAAAGAAAAGTACTGTATGATTACACTTATCTGTGGAATCTAAAATAGTCAAACTCACAGAAACAGAGAATACAGTGGTGGCTGTCAGGGACTGGTTGGGGAGGGCGGGGTCCATAAGAAGATGATGATCAAAGGATACAAAGTTTCAGTTACACAAGGTAAATAGGTCACGGAGATCTACTATACAGCATAGTTCTTATAGCTAAAAATACTTAAAATTTATTGTATTGTATACTTAAAATTTGGTAAGAGAGTAGTTCTTATATTAAGTGTTCTCACCTCAGAGACAATTATAATAATGAAGGGAGCAGGAGGAAATTTTGGGAGGTGGTGGACATGTCTATGACCTTGATCAGGCGTCCCCAAACTACAGCCCGCGGGCCGCATGCGGCCCCCTGAGGCCATTTATCCGGCCCCCCGCCGCACTTCAGGAAGGGGCACCTCTTTCACTGGTGGTCAGTGAGAGGAGCACAGTATGTGGCGGCCCTCCAACGGTCTGAGGGACAGTGAACTGGCCCCCTGTGTAAAAAGTTTGGGGACGCCTGACCTTGATGGTGGTGATAGTTTCACAGATATATACTTAGCCCCCAAATCATTGAGTTGTGTACATTAAATATGCACAGCTTTTTACATGTTAATCATACCTCAATGAAGTGTCTTACAATTAAAAATAAAGAAAGAAGGGATGGATTTAAGTCCCAGCTGAGACACTTAATGTGCGACTGTGAGATAATTGCTCTAATGTTCTGGGTATTGCTTGTCTCATAATAAAAGGGGACAATAATACTACTCTTATATCATGGGTTTTCTCCTGCATTCAGGAGGGGTGTGTGTGTGTCTGTGTGTGTGTGTGTGTCTGTGTGTGTGTGTGTGTGTGTGTGTGTGTGTGTGTCGGTGTGTGTGTGTGTGTGTGTGTGTGTGTGTGTGTCGGTGTGTGTGTGTGTGTGTGTGTGTGTGTGTGTGTGTGATATGCTTTTCGTCGGGTCTTCAAATATTTGCTAAAGGCTCAAGTATGACAAGAAGTTCCACATTCTAAAGAGGACCTGCCAGACACACTTTTGCTCATATTTTAGTAGAGGACACGGACAACAAAGCAAAGAAATTTGTAAAATGTGCGAATAGTCTATGGTGCTCAGGGTTACGGGAAAAAAAAAAAAAAAAAAGGCTGGGAAACGCAACCAGGGATGCTGGCATGCCAGGATTGCAACATTAAATAGGGTGGGGAGGGCATGCCTCACTGAGAAGGTGACATTTGAATAAACAGAAGGAGCTGAGGGAATGTGTCAGGAGGATAAGAGGGGCAAGAGCATTCCAGGCACAGGGAACCGCGGACGGATGCAAAGTGTCTGAGGCAGGAGCTTGCCTATCCTGATCAACCACCGGCAAGGAGGCCAGTGTGGCGGGAGCCAGGAGAGTGTAGGGGAGAGACTGGTAGGAGAGGAGGCAACAGAGATTGTGTGTATAAGAGAAAAACTGCAGGCCGGGCACAGTGGCTCACGCCTATAATCCCAGCACTTTGGGAGGCCGAGGCAGGTGGATCACCTGAGGTCAGCAGTACAAGACCAGCCTGGCCAAGACGGTGAAACCCTGTCTCTACTAAAAATGCAAAAAGTTAGCCGGCCATGGTGGCGCACGCCTGTAAGCCCAGCTACTCGGGAGGCTGAGGCAGGAGAATCACTTGAACCCAGGAGGCGTAAGTTGCAGTGAGCCAAGATCACGCCATTGCACTCCAGCCTGGGCAACAAGAGTGAAACTCCGTCTCCAAAAGAAAAAAAAAAAAAGAACAGAAAAGAAAACTGCAGATTCCTTGAGAGAAAATTACATGAAGGGAATTTGTCGACATGGTAAGCACTTGGGCCTCCCCAACCTAAACCTAGTGTGGGTCGCCCCAAGAGAAATGCTTACAGTTTGGCTTTGTGGCTCAGAGAGAATGATGGCAGGGCTCTCCCTGAGCTACAGAAACATAGAAGTCTGTGGCATGTTGCTTCCAGAGCCAAACATGAGAGAATTCTTGACAAGTGATCTCGGGATTTGGGGCTGTATTTAAAGACCGAGACTGGGGCCTGTGCGAAGAACTGCCTGGGAAACCTGGCATGGAGTCCTCTGGAAAAGATCTCATCCAAGGAGGTGGCCTGCTGGGGTGATAGGGAACCAGAAGAAAGAGGCAGTGAATTGCAAGGAGACAAGGGACCAGAAGGTGGGTGGGGAGAGGAAAGACCAGTTGGAGAGAGTATTGTTGACGAAAAGAGTCAAACTCTGTAAAATATTTGAAGAGATTTACTCTGAGCCAACTATGAGTGACCATGGCCTGTGACATAGCCCTCAGGAAGTCCTGAGAACATGTGCCCGAAGTGGTTGGGGTACAGCTTGGTTTTACATATTTTAGGAAGGCGTGAGACCTCAAATACATTTAAGAAATACATTGATTTGCTTCAGAAAGGCAGGATAACTCAAAGCAGGGGCTTCTGGGTTATAGGTAAATTTAAACATTTTTTTGGTTGACAATTCGTTGAGTTTGTTTAAAGACCTGGGCTCCAAAGAGAGGAATGTTCAGGTTAAACAGGTTAAAGATAAAGGACTGTGGAGACCAAATTTTATTGTGCAGAGGAAGCTCTTAGATAGCAGACTTCAGAGAGAACCGGTTGTAAATTGTTTTTTATCAGACTTAAAAGGGTGCCTGGCTCTTAGCTGATTATCTCCTGGATCTGGGAAGGAAGGAAGGAAAAGAAAGCGGGAAGGGAATTCTCTATAGAATGTGGATTTTTCCCACAAGAGACTCTGCAGGGGAATTTCAAGGTATGGCAAGGAAATCTATTTTAGGGTTAAATATTTTTTTCCTTGTCTCATAATGTTTTGCCAGAGTCAGATTGGAAAGTCAGTCACAATACACAGGGTCAAATAAAGCCCATCTGATGAGAATTTGTGATTTGTAGGGCATGACTCCCAGAACCCTTAGATAAAAATTGGGGCAAGATAAATAAACAGAACTTATTCCTCAGTATCACCTGCTTCGGGGAATGTGGCAGCGCAGAGGTCCCCACGGAGTGACTCTGAGGTACCCAAAAATGCAGCCTACGAGGAGCCAGCATCTGCATTCCTGCTGCAGCCCAGGGTGCTAATGTTCAGAGTAAATAGACATAATTACTTTTCCCCTTTTCTGTTAATAATTCCCCTCACCCCCATCTCTGGAAGAGACAGTGGAGTTTGAGGGGAGAGAGTGGAGGTGTTAAAGGACAGATCGGCTGGGCACAGTGGCTCAGGCCTGTAAACCCAGCACTTTGGGAGGCCCGAGGTGGGCGGATCACCTGAGGTCAGGAGATCGAGACCAGCCTGGCCAACTTGGTGAAACCCCAATCTCTACTAAAAATAGAAAAAATTAGCTAGGCGTGGTGGCAGCTGCTTGTAATCCCAGTGACTCCGGAAGCTGAGTCAGGAGAATTGCTGAAACCTGGGAGGCAGAGGTTGCAGTGAGCTGAGATCATGCCGTTGCACTCCAGCTTGGGTGACAAGAATGAAACCCTGTCTCAAATAAATAAATAAATAATAAATAAATAAATAAATAAAAGACAGACCCCATCCTCTCCAAGTCCTGGAGCTAGGGACCTTCAGCCTGAACTGAATGATGGAAAAGAAGATGAGATGTCAAAGCCTTTACTTAGAATGGACTACACTTTAAAAAAATTCTGAATTGTTTGTGTGGATTTTCCAAATACTTATCTGAAAATGATACTTTTTTTTTTTTTTAATGAAAGTGATAGGAAATTGTGGTTTCAACATGAGATACTGCCAAGAGGCAGAGAGGTATATATTGTAGAATGTATTTAAAGGCAAAAATGAGAAAAATGTAAAAAGATTTCCTACTGTGTCCCATTGAGTTCATTCCATTCAAGAAACCACTTACATATATAAAGTACCTGGAATCTAGGTGGCTTTTGCTATCATTTCTTCATACTACGAAAAGCTAGAGACTGGATCTGTGAGCTACAATATTCCTGCAATAAATTCCTTCTGTATTCTAATTAACTAGCATAAGGTTTTGTTGCTTGGCCCCAAGAACTTTGAGTCCTCACAGCATTTTAATCTCTGGTTCTATTGTTCTTGAGCTCCCCCAGCATCTTTGCATTTCCTATAATTTGATTGTTTATGGATTTAGGAGTTCCTTGGATTCAGTGAGACAATAAACTTTTTTTTTTCTTTAAGAGTTCCAGCAGCCGCCGGGCGGGGTGGCTCACGCCTGTAATCCCAGCACTTTGGTAGGCCGAGGCGGGCAGATCACCTGAGGTCAGGAGTTCGAGATTAGCCTGGCCAACATGATGAAATCCCGTATCTACTAAAAATACAAAAATTAGCCTGGCATAGTGGCGCATGCCTATAGTCCCAGCTACTTGGGAGGCTGAGGCAGGAGAATCTCTTGAACCCGGGAGGCAGAGGTTGCAGTGAGCCAAGATCAAGCCATTGCACTCCAGCCTGGGCGACAGAGCAAGACTCTGTCTCAAAAGAAAAAAAAAAAAAAAAAAGAAAAGAGAGCACCTGCTGTCTATTTAATCATCCGAAGCCATGGCCTAGAGGTGCACGTGGGCCCCTGGTCGCACCTGACAGAACCACTATCCATCACTTCAGTTCCTCAGGAGCTCCCCATACTCCATTTCCACACTATGCCCAGGCCTCAACTGATCCATTTCATTTTTGTCTCTGAATTTTAAATGACATACCAATTAGGATCAGGTTCAGGTGCATGAAATACACACACACACACACACTTAAGAAAACAGAAGCCGACGCTCATCTGATGTAAAATAAATCTGGAGGTAATCAGTCCAGGATGGGGTTGGGGTTCCGTGAACCCATCAGGGACCAGCTTCTCTCTGGCTCTTGGCTCTGCCATCCCTGCAATGTGGCTCTCTTCCTCATGCTCAAGATGGCACATAGAGCTCTAAGCATCTCACCAACATTGAACTAACAGGAATGAGGAAGGGTAGAACTGTGTGGGGCCTCCCTTTAAAATCACTTCCCAGAAGTGCTATATCCTTCTTGATCTCGTGTACACAGAACTTAGAAGTTAGACACTCTCTGACATTTTCTACATGAACTTTCACATACCGCTTGCCTGGATCCTTGCCTTAAATCCTGCAATCTTGATCCTTCCATGTCCTTGACCAACTGACCAAGCAATCAGTGCTAAGCATTACTCAGCACAGATCTTACCCGTGGCCATCTCACCACCTAGGCAAAATAAAAAATCGGATATAACAGTTGAAGTTTTGCCCCTTGAGAGGAATTCCTTTTTCAAGTGTCTTTCAGAACCACCCCTAAGTGCGATTGTAATGCTGTAGTCATCTATTTCCTGCTGGCCAAATTACATGTTCAATCTCAGGTCTATGGATCAGCAAGCGGAGTAACGAGAAAAGGAAAGATTGAAGATTTCATCAAGACCAAACCAGTGGGTTCACTAGGC